GTAAGCTAGTTCTTGGCACAGGTAATAGTGATGATTGTGCAACATTGCCAGTGAGCTGTGCACTTGCGAATAATTGACGTAGGACCCGTGAGAGGCTCAGTCAGTAAAGCACTTTCCTTGCAAGTTCGGTCTCCGGAGCCTTTGAAAACAATGGGTATGATGGTATGGATTCCCTTACAGTCCCCATGCCGAGGAGGTGGAGCCAGGTAGATCGCTAGGGCAGCTGCTAGCCAGCCTAACCTATTAGGCAGGCTCCAAGCCAGCAAGAGACCTTGTCTCAAGGAAAAGGTAAGGGAACCCTCCCTCAAGCCCACATGCATCATCTCAGGTGTTTTCCTTCTCCCCAAGTGCCTCTCTTTCTCTTAACCTTCATGTTTAAGCGTGTCCTGAACAAATGCCACTCTCTGTCTTTGTCACCAGCAACATGAAGCTGCAGTTCAGGCAGGAGAAGTTGTTCCAGCCCGTGACACAGTAAGTCTACCGTTTCTCCCTAGATTCTGGCCCCAGGAGCGGGGACTGCCTTCCCTTCCTCACACTGCCCCTTCCTGGTTACAGGTTCCAGTACCCTCAGCCTAAGCTGCTAGAACACAGGTAGGTGTCAGGGAATGGCCTGGTAGCAGCAGGGAGGGGAGCCAGAGAGAGCCAATGAGGCCAGAGGATGGTGGCGGTACCGATAGTAAAGGGGACCTGGGCGCCAGAGCGTCAGGGAGCTGAGCTTCACCTGCCACGCAATGACTGTGTGACCCTAGGCAGTTGGCTTTCTGTTCTGAGCTTTACCTTTTGTGGAGATCACAATATTACCTACTTTATAGGAGGTTGGAGCAGTAGGCAGGGGTACTGTGGCATATGGTTGGATACTGGCTTGTCCCCAGTGGCTTATTCTGTCACCTTATGGGCACCCTCTGGTCTGCGGTGGGAGTGCTCTAGAATAATGGTTCTCAACCTTCCTATCGCTGAGACCCTTTACTACAGTTCCTCGTGTTGTGGTGATCGCCAACTGTAAAATTATTTTGTTGCTACTTCATAACTGTAATTTTGCTACTATTAAGGATTGTAATATAAACATCCGATATGCAGCCCCAACCCCAAAGGGGTCACAATTCACGGTTGAGAACCGCTGCTTTAGACACACTGTCTGTGCCAACTCCTAGACTTCCCAGCCCTAGCAGGAGGTAACTGTTATTATCCCCACTTTCTCATGGGGAAACTGAGGCCCAGTAACTTGGCCAAGAGCTACCCAGGCTTCTGAATGGGGAGGCTTCCATGGCCTGAGCCTCCCCCATGCCAGACCCACAGAGCTGCTGACGCTTACCCCCTGGTTGGCACCCATCATCTCCGAGGGAACCTTCAACCCAGAGCTTCTGCAGAATATGTACCAGCCGTTGAACCTGACCATCGGAGTCACCGTGTTCGCCGTGGGGAAGTGAGTAGTGGGCTAGGCAGGGGTGGGGCTGGGTCTCCTTGAGCCACTGGGGTTTGTGGTCTAGAGAGGCCAGTGTGGCCGAGTGCTAGGCAGTGATATGGAGGAGCTTGCTT